CATGGTAATTTAAAGGCAGATCCAGGACTAGAACCTAGATCTTCTGACTCCTAGGATGCCTTTCCCTACCCTTTCCCTCTTCACCTAATCTACAACATTATTATCAAAATCACCCACATTAGACCATGAAGATATAAGCATAGCCACAATAGGTCAGACCTAGGAGCCATGAAGCCCACTGGTCTGTCTTGAACACCAGCACCAAGGGATGTGTTGTGGAAAGGTAGGTTTAATCTCCATAATGTTAATTTAAGAATTAGGGTTTTCTCCCCAAATATCCATGATTCCCATACTATAAACCTCAATCACACGCGCACACACACACACACACACACAATGCATGTATATGTGTGTATAACATATTCTTGAATCCTTATCATATACCCATCAAAAATAAAAGCAAAGTAGATAAAAATACCAAGTGTCTAGATTATGACATGCAATTGGATGAAGGGGCCTACCAAATTATTCCATCAATGTGCATATTTTTGTCAGGAAATGCAGATGGACAATGTGCTATGCCCAGAACTGAGTAGGAGCAGGATGTTGGGTTAGGTTACACTTAGGAAACTTCGGTGTTTTTAATGAACCCAAACTGCCTGTTACCTCAAAAACCCATCTGGTTAATGCCATTAAGTTCCCAGTGATGCTACATGGCTATTAATTATAGAATACCCCAATTTAGAAGAAAGTGTTATTGATACTTTATCACATTAACGCAATTACTATTATGTCATTAGCAGAAGAGGCAGAGTGGCATAGTAGAGAATTCTGGCTCCAAGACCTACTCTCTGTGTGACTTAAGCTCTCTATTTCAGTTTTCTCATTGGCAAAATGATTATAGGATAGTAAATAGAGGGATAGCTATGGAGTGAGGAAGAATCTTATTGAGGTACCACTTTTCACACATTTTGAATGCATGACTACAACCTGCCTCAGTGCTAAGGGCAACTTCTGTGTGTGTGTGTGGGGGGGGACTTTGTAAGGCTGTAAGTTATGGACCAGTTGCCAATCTGCACTAAAGTTGGGACTTTCAACACCAGAATATTCCCCATGCTGGGAAAATCACAGATCCATATCCCTGCTTCCTTCTACCCCCCGCCTCCAATTTTACATGCATATATTTCATCTGATACCAGTGAATTCACCAATCCAATTCCTATGTGTAAAATACTTTGTACACCTGAAAAGCACTTTAGAAATGTCAACTATTCTTATTTCTGTGGGTGTCACGAGGCACTTTTTTCACAGCAACCCATGTAGCTTTTGTTGCTGAGTTGTTTCAGTCATGTATGACTCACCATGACCCTATATGAGGTTTTCTTGACAAAGATACTGGAGTGGCTTGCCTTTTCCTTCTCCAGTTCATTTTGCAGATGAGGAAACTGAGGCAAACAAGGTTAAGTGACTTGCCCAGGGCCACACAACTAGTGTCTGAGGGGGGATTTGAACTCAGGTAGGTCTGATTCCAGGGATAGCACTCTATCCACTGTAGCTCCTAGCTGTCCCCTATGTAGCTAGTAGCATGAATATCATTATCAACTCCATTTTTAGATGACCAAAATTGAGGATCAAAGAGGTTAACAAATTAATCCATGGTCATAGAACTTACAAATGTTAGAGTCAGGATTTGAACCCAGGTCTTTCTCTTGACTCTGAGATTCATACTCCTACTACAACATACTGCCAGACAACTGAATTAAACATCTTCACTAAGGTAAAGGGGACAACTAGGTGGTGCAGTGCCAGGCCTGAAGTCAGGAAGACTCATCTTCCTGAGTTCAAATCTGGCCTCAGACACTTACTAGCTGTGTGACCCTGGGCAAGCACTTCATCCTGTTTGCCTCAGTTTCCTCATCTGTAAAATGATCTAGAGAAGGAAATTGCAAACCACTCCATTATCCTTGCCAAGAAAACCCTAGATGGGGTCACAAAGTGTTGGATACAACCGAAAAACAGCAAAGACAACAAAGGGTAAAGAAGTGGATATTCCTGCTCTGAGGAGGGTAGCATCAGCAGCATCTCTGAAAATAAAAGACAGAACATTAAGGAGCACTCTTTGGTGGCTCCTTAAGTGAGGCCCTCAGCACTGCAAGGGAAGAGTTTCACACTGGCACAACCATGTCCATCATCAATGACTCACCACAAGCCTGTCGGGCAGTGTCCATGTTAGTTTTTGTTATATTGGGTTCTCAAGTGTTTAGACTGCATGTGTTTCCCAGGATTCAGACACATACTTCAAAGAGATACATGGGATTTTTAACCAAAAGCATGAATGGATGCTTCTTTGTCAGAGAGGCAGATGTTGTCCTTGACAGCTATGTAACTATTTATCTATTTTGGATCAAAAGTCAGTGGAAAGGATCACATTAATGACTGGCATTTCTATAGACTGCACCATAGTTTTCCAAGTACCTTGCTTACCACTAGCCTGAGAAGTAGAAGTGTAGGCATTATTGTTAGCATTTTATATATGAGGAAACAGAGGGATGGAATAATTAAATAAATGACTTGGCTGAGTTCACCCAGATAAGTTGCAAAGCCAGTATTTGAATGAAGGTCTTTACAGCCAAAATCCAGTGATCTTCTCACTATACCACAGCCACTCCAAATGCCATATCACTCATCTCATAGTCCAGGCAAGTAATTTTTATATTTTGTTAGTAAGTAAAACTTTTATTTCATATCTTCCCAAGTGCATTTTCAGTAATTATAAAGCCAGGTACAAGGGATTGACAAGGACCTTGAAAAATCATCATTTTCAGTGGCAGTTAGGTGGCCCAGTGGATAGAGCACTGGACCTGGAGTCAGAGGACCTGAGTTCAAATCTGACCTCAGACTGGACACTCGACACTTAGTAACTGTGTGACCCTGGACAAGTCACTTAACCCCAATTGTCTCACCAAAAAATAAAATTAAATTAAATCATCTATTTCACCCCAATACTTTCAGTACGGACAAATGGAACTCTTTCCTAATTGGTGTCTAACTCATTCCAATATCAGCAGTTCCCATGGAAGGGAACTTGCTTCTTATGGCTTTTTATAGGCTTATAGGCTTATATGCTTTTTTTATAATTTGATTCTTGGACTATTGTCCTTACACGTGGAGGACTCCTGTTCATTACTGTGATCAAAGGAGAGCAGCACTTCTCTTTGGCCCATTATTCCTGGACACAGAACTGCTGAGGCTGAGGCTGAGGCTCCCTATCTCTATCTCAATTACACAATGCCGATCCATATAGAATGTGCTTTATAATCAAACATTACCTGGGTTTACTACTTTTATCTTTGGTTTTGGTTATTTCCTCTACTGCTCCAATCCCACATATAGCATGTTCAATTACAATTCTGTGATTCTGGTTGAGTTGTTTTCTTTCTTCCCTCTGCTGATTCAAATCTCACCCCCTCTTTGAGGCCCATTATCAGTCTGATCTTCTCCAAGAAGCCTTTTCTGAATATTTTAGGCCATACTCATCTCCTTCTACAAATCTATTTTTTTGTACATATAACTAATACCACTGATTAATTGATTATTGTCATTGTTTGTCCCTTGTTCTCAAAGAGGACCACGACATCAGGGAGGCGATGGCATGACATGCAAGTGAATTGGATTTAAGTGAGGCAGGACTCTGCAAAGTCACCAGCCTCACTCTGTCCTCTGGAGCCATCTGGGTCCAGTGGCAACATATGGATCAGGACGACTGGAGACAGCCCTTGAGATGAATTAGCAAACATCTATTGTGTGCTTAAGCCTTTGTTCTCCCACTATTCACATGTGTTGTAAAAGTTCCATGAGTTCCTTCTCTGGGTAAAGACATAACATTTGATTATGTTGGTGCCATAGGCCATCATCCTGCCCATTGCTGTAGGTATTGCAAGTATAATTACTATATGGGTATAAGCTGTACCCAAAGTTCCATTTCTGTAGGAAGTTCCCAAAGCCAATCAATATCTTGGCAAAAGGAAAGCAAAAGTGGATGAATTCTCATTTTGTGTACATATTTTTATGAGATGAATGTGAACAGCAGGGCTCAGAAGCCCTGGATGCCACTCAGATCTGTTCCAACAAGTACAAAGTGAAGAGTGATGGTAAAGATGGCTTTCATTTCTGTGTGCAACTGCATCCCTTTCATGTCAGCCACACCAACAAGATATTTTTCAGCCCCTGTGCAGGGGCTGATAGGCTCCTAACTAGCAGTCAGGTATGGGGAAAGAGCCTTTGGAAAGCTTCAGGGCACCATAGCCCAAATGTGCATTAGCCAGCTCATCATGTCCATCTGAACCAAGGTCCAGAATAAAGAGTATGCAATTGGGGCTCTGCAGAAGGTCAAGTTCAAATTCCCTGGCCACCAGAAGATTCACATCTCCAAGAAGTGAGCTCTCACCAAGTTCAATGATGATGAGTTTAAGTACGTGACAGCTGAGAAGTTCAGCATTCCTGATGGCTGTAGGATTAAGTATATCACCAATAATGGCCTCTTGGATAACTAGTGGGCATTCCACTCACGAGGAATGTTATTTGTGAAATCAACCCTTTGCAGGCACAAATAAAAACTATTCATATATGTGTATACATGTAACTATGTGTGTCTATATATGTATATATGGAAAGAAAGAGGGGGAGAGAGAGGGAAGAGGGAGAGGAGAGAGGAGAGAGAGGAGAGAGAGGGGAGAGAGAGACAGACAGATAGACAGACAGATATACCCCTCTTCAAGGGGCAGGGACTGTATATTATATGTCCATTGTAACTTCTTTACAGTATGCCTCCCTGAACACTGAATGTACGACACCTGGTAAGTGCTTACTGATTGATTTACCCATGTCAAGGTTGCCTGCTTCAGCTTATAAATTCCCAGAGGACTGGATTCATAACCATACTTTTCTCTGTTTAATGCACCTAGCTCAGGTGCCATAGGCAATCTGACAATGAAATCTGTCTTGGGGATTGATGGCAGAGGCCCAGGAACTGGGATATGTTAACTTTCATCATGTCTTACCTGAGTTAAAAACTGGAAACCAATGGTAGAACTCATTTTTGTAGGGCACTGTGTCAAATTCACTGCACTGCATCTGCCGAAAAGTTGGCACATCCACGCGGCAGGGGTGGATGTTGCACAGGCGGTGGCGCTTTCTTTCTCCAGTGCAATACTTCCCTCCAAACTTGGGTCTGCCAATGAAACAGAGTGCTTTCAAAATTTCCCCAAAGACCACTTTTTCTATAAAAAGCATTCTCTGGAATTCCTTACTATGAAATCGCTACCAAACTCACTTTCCTTTCTACCTTAAAAAGTCACTTCTTTAAGGAGGTCTTCTTAACTCCATAAATTATCACATGGTCCATTCTCCCTAGCTTGTTTTCAGTACTTCAGTACACAGTAGTATATAGTAACACAGAGACAATGTGGAATAAAGGGACTGCCTGGGTGTTAAGGAAACCTGAGCCTTAGCGCTGCCTCTGATACACTAGCTACGTGCCCCAGGGCAAGCGCTGGATTGCTCAGTGCCCCCAGACAACTCTGACTTTAAAAGTTGCCCATCTGCTTTGGCAGAAGAAGTTTCTACTGCCAATATTAGTAAAGGGAATATATTTATATCCACATTCATATCACTTACATCTAAGTCCATATCAATAGAATCTATATCTATACCCATCTATATTTCCATCTCTCTGTCTCTATCATCCATATCCATATCATCATCCATATCTATCTCATTGGTGTAAGATATTCCCTCATACCAATCTGTAGCCAATGGGCCATGGGGGATGGAGAAGGAAGGGAGAAGAGAAGCAGTTAATACTATAAATACAATTATCTCACTTAATCCTCACAACAACTTTCTGAGATAGATGTTATTATTTTACCCATTTTGCATCTGAGGAAACTGGGAGGAAAGTTAAGTGACTTGCCCAAGGTCACACAGATGATGTCTGAAGAAGGATTTGGAGTCTTTCTTACACCAACTTCAGTGACTCTATCTCAATTGCACCACCTATGATTATCCCTAAAAACCATATGAATGCTCCTTCAAGCTCACAGCCCTTCTACCTGTCAGCATTTGGTCTTCATAAGTTTCAAGATAAAAAAAATATCATTCTCTGATGGCTACCTTATGGATGTAGAGAGGTAAGTTTTTGGCCGATAGCCATACAAGTTATTGCTGGACCTGTACTCAGAGGTTTTCCAAGCTGGAAGGACATGCCAGGATTTATGCCTCACTGGAATAACCTTCGAGAAATCAGGGTCACCTCATATTATAGAGAAACACTGGAGCAGGGGTTCTTAACCTTTTTTATGTCATAGACCCCTTTGAAAGTCTTGTGAAGCATCTGGACTGTTTTCAGAATAATATTTTTAAATACATGAAATACAATACATAGGACTAAAAAGGAAAAAAATTCTATTGAAATAAAGATATATTTTTTTTCCCCGTATGAGTTCACAGCCTCCCTGAAATCTATCAATGAACCTCTATGGAGTCCAAGGACCTCAAGTTAAAATCCCTGCACTAAAGAAATAAGATCATCATCATAGTCATCATCATTATTGTTATAATAATCATAATTTAAAAAAATTTATCTGGCCCTGAGATTTTATCAATGAAGGGAACTTCCAGTGTGGAAAGTACTGCAATATGTCAGATGTGGGACTTGATGCCTAGGCTTCCTGACTTCAAGGTCAGCCCTCTATATGCTAAGCCATGACATCCTTTAATAATGGTGTAAGGTTTTTACATTAATTAACTAATAAGTTAATGGGCAATAAGGTTTAGGAGACTGGGGGCAGTTATGCTAAAATTTCTCTCTAATGTTCATGCTTTTTCTTTTCTAGGTCACAGTAAACAAACCTCATTTTCTGATAGTGAGTGGCAACACATTCTATCATTTTTCTGGTGTAGTACTTGACTGCTCTCCAGAACAAAAGGAACTAATACTGAGTATGAGTGTATCATTTGGAGCTAGAAGAAGTGAAAGGATTTAGATCCAACATCATATAAACATAAAATATATTTTTTAAATCAGTAATTTCACCATGATAGCTAAAGCTTCCAATGGTAAAATTAATCTACTGACCCCTCCCTATCCATTTGCCCCAAACAAGTTTCTGTGGAACTCAAGGATTCTGTGAAACATAGTTTGGAAAACTCAGGATTAGGCTATTAAATATCTTTATAGTTAATCTACATTATTAAATATTTCAGCAGTCACCACAGGATGCAGGGGAGGGGCCCTTAACACTTTTTTACTGATAAACTGAATCAGGCAGAAATTTTCCTGCAAAGATTAATTCTGCATCTATGGGGTCTGGGGATATTTTTTTGCCCCTAAACAAATGAAGCTATTCAGAAGCATTCCAATTGGACACCTATAGGTGAAAAAAAAGCCAACCCCAAATTTAACATAGAAATGAGAACTGTCCTATTTGTCCAAGCTATAAAAAACCCAAAAATATTAGGAAGCAGGACTAATAGCTAATCAAACACAGAGCCTAATGGACTGTTAACATCCTTTGTCATTCCTTTTGATTCTTCCTTGATTGAGGTTGAAGAGAACCAGTGGTTGGGTTTTTCATCAAAAAGCTTGGAATTACAGGGATTATGCTCATCAGGATTTCAAATCCAAAGGCTTTAAAAAGAGAAAGAGGAAAAAAAAAGAGGACAGCAACTTACTCAGGGTTGTTGCAGAGTCTCTCTGCACTCTGAACTCCAGCCCCACAGGTCCTGGAGCAATGTGACCAAGGTGACCAACGGCCCCAGCCTCCAGGGATGCTCTCTGGTTTCTTTCCCACTGTGATGCACTTGCCAGCCATACACCACTGAGGGGTCAGGAGGAAGGGAAGAAAGAAACAGGAGAAAAATAGGTCAGGAAGCTAGCAACCTCACAACAACATCAAGTTAGCACTCAGGGAGTTGAGAAGATCCCTTCACAGCAGGAAAATTCAAACTCAGGACCTTGCTTTTGCCACCAATTTTTGAGGAAAGTAACTCAGACCTGAATCAGAGAAATAAAGGCAAAAGAGAGTTTTCTTTGAGAGTTTTGACCTTCATAATAAAAAATATTAGAATTGGAAGAGTTCTTAGATATCACCTAGTCTATCTTCCCACTTGGTGAAGGCATCTCCTCTAGAATGTCCCCGACAAGTTCTCCAGTAGTTCTTGATTGACACCTCTAGTCATGGGAAGCTCTCTACTATCTGAGGTAGCATTTCAACAGTTCTTTCTTCTAATGAAGAAGGAATGCCTTCTTTTTAACCTAACCTGTTGTTTTTAATTTTACCCTCTGGACAAACAAAGAATGAGTCGGTTTCCTCTCCCACATGCCAATCATATTTGTTTTTCTTTAAATTTAATTTTTTTGTTACATTTTAAGTTCTGAAATGTCTCCTCTTGCACTAGAGAAGGCCACCACTTGACACAGATATATATGTATGTATATATGCACACATGTGTATATATGTATATGTTTATTATGTATGTATGCAAAAATGTACTATGTTTACTTCTATTTATCAGTTCTTTCTCTGGAGGTGGAGATTATCTCTTCCTTCATAGGTCCTTTGTAGTTGATTTGAGTATTTATAATGCTCAGAATAACTTAGTTGTTCAGTTACATTCAAACAATATTGATGTTACTGTATACAATGTTCTCTTGGTTCATTTCACTCTTCACTATTTCATGCAAGCCTTTCCATGTTTTTTTTTCTAAAAATCAACCTGTTCATCATTTCTTATAGCACAACAGTATTCCATTATATTCATATACCACAACTTGTTAAGCTATTCCCAGTTGATGGGCATCCTCTTGATTTCCATTCTTTGCCACCACAAAATGAGCTGCTATAAATATTTTAGAATATATAGGTCCTTTCCCTTTTCCCCTGATCATGTTGAGAAACAGATCTAAGAGTGGTATTGCTGGGTCAAAGGGTATACACAGTTTTATAATTCTTTGGGTATTATTACAGATTGCTCTTCAAAATGTTTGAATTAATTCACAAGTCCACCAACTAACCATCCAAATATTTCAAGTCAACTATCTGTTTGGGAAAGTAAAAAGGAGAAGGCAGTGATGAAGAAAGAAATATATCATGTTTACAAGCTATGCCCACGTTTCTTGGAGGTGCTGGGCGGGTTGTATCTGCTTGTCATGATTTCCTCTTCAGTTCAGATAACCCTGATGTCCTAAGAGGTTCATAGATCCTTTTACCCCCAAAATGAAAAAAGAAGCTGCCCCCCTCCCCCAAATCTGAGGACTCATTTATTCTTCCAGTAAATAGTACAGACTAAATCAGAAGGTCCTGAAGAACTAGCTCTCAAGGAAATGCTTTGTAACCCAATATTATATTTTGACCCCCAGCAGGCTGAGAGCATCTGGACTTAGTGCCTAGCAAAGTAGAGAAATGTTGTGGGCATGTAGCCAGATCAGGTGCTAAAGAAGGAAGTTAATGGCCCAAATCAGCATTCTCAGAAGAAAATGTCTACTGACTTGTCCAATTTATTCTTCATTTAGAAAAAAAAAGTGAAAAAGAGTAAATTGGGTCTTTGGATAATCAATCCAGAAAATTCCATTGTCAGCAACATCCCCCATCTCTCAAGACTACCAAGCTAAACCATTAAAGATGTGTGAAGTGTTTGGCCAGAGTTCACTCAGTTAAATGCGGCATCAAGGACTGTTCTTCTCTAATTGCATCTTCCCACAGGGAATTCCAGGATGAGTGTCAGAAATGAAAATGCCTGACACTGATTGCTCTGCCTGGACTGGCCTCGGTTTCTGGCACTCTGACTGATCTCCCGTGACCACTGTCCTCGACCTCAGACCCCTCTGCTGCTCTAGCCTTCTGTCACAGTCTGGAACATCACCTTTTTCTCTCCACACCTGGTCCCATCTGCAGCAGCATCCAGCTTGGAGCGGCACGAGCCTTTCACTGAGCACCACAATGTCTGGCAAATGTTCTGCAAAACCAGGAAAGGTACAGTCATTAGTAATAAAGACAGCAATTACTACTGACACAGCCTGCGGAGGTTTGCAAAATGTTTTATCTCCTATGAGGTAGAGAAATTCATTATTATTATCCCCGTTTTACAGATGAAGAAATAGAGGCTCTATAAGGCTAAGTGACTTGCTTATCATCACAGAACTAGTAAATGATTGAGGCAAGATGTTAACTAAACTCTCAGTAATCTTTGGAAGGATGTAATGAAGGTGCCATGATCACAGACTTAGAGCTAGAAGTCTTGAAGTCTGAGGCCCAAAGACGTAAGTTACTTGCTGAATGTCACACAGGTAAAGTGACAGCCAGAACTTAAACCCAGGTTCCTGACCCTTTTCACTATACCATGTTACTTTCCCTGACTTTAAGGCCAGCATCCAATCCAGTTCAAATACACTTTGGACTTAATTACTATATGAAAGACAGAAACCTAGAGTATAGTATTTGGGAAATTAGAAGATGGAACCATGTTTCCTTATAATCCAGGACTATTTCTGCAGAATGTTTAATAAGACAATGATAGATCATAACTGGTAACCATGCTCATTACAGCAAGTCACAGACTCTGGGTTCTAATTATCATTCAGCATTCATACAACATTTGTTTCAATAGATTTCCAACTATGTTTCTCCATCAATAAAAGTAGAGTGATTATACTTGCCTCTTTCCCGGTGAAGGAAATTGAAATTATCCAGACAGAAAGATGTCACTTCTTTGTGAGTTGTAGCTAACCAGTTTGATGGGAATGTGGGAAAGGTATTGTGAGAACCTTGCATTAATAATCTACAGGGTCTCAATTTGCTTTCCAATTAAATGCAGTAAACACATCCATTTCCATTCAACCAGCATTTCAGATGTGGGTTTTGACATGAGAGAACCACAAAATATTTAATCTAGAAAGGATCTCATGAATCTCCTCCTATTTTATAGATGAGAAAACAAAAGCTCAGAGAGCAACTTGCCCAAGATCATGACAGGATTATAGGATCATAAATTTAGAGTTTGAAGGGACCAAAGAGGCCATCTAGTACAATCTCCATATTTTACACATGGAAAAACTGAGGGCAGGGAGGCTAAAATGCCTTCCAGTTGCCATTACCAGTATTCAAAATCAGGCCACTGGACTTCAGACTCAGTATTCTTTCTTAATCAATGATGGAAGATCTTGGAACACATTATGACCCTGTCCATTTCATCTTTTGTCACACTACAAAAAATCTCATTAAAAGAAAGAATCATAAATATGAAGAAAAGGGAGAAGCATGGAAAGATTTATGAATGAATACAAAGAGAAGTAAGCAGAACAAAGAAAATTCTATATACATATATAGTAAACATATACACATAATTTATATATATATATATACACACACACACACATATGCATGTATGCACACACAAACCACACAATGGAAATGGGAAGAGCCACAAAAATTGAATGCCATTCAAGTCTAATGACCATTCTTGGTCTTGAAGAAAAAAATGAGAAAATATACCTCCCTTTCTTCTTTGTAGAGGTGAGGGACTATGTGTTCAGAATATTGCATATACTATTAGCCTTGGCTGATATGTTGGCTAGTTTTGCTGAACTACATTTCCCCCCTCATTCTTTGTTACAGGGGACTGCTCTCTGGGCAAGGGAGGGGATGGATATAATTGGAAATGAAGATGATGTAAGAAGATCATTGATTTTTAAAAATTATTTTGAAATGTTTAGGCAATTGGAGCTAAGTGACTTGCCTAGGGTCACACAGCTACTAAGTGTCAAGTGTTTGGTCTGAGGCCGGATTTGAACTCAGGTCCTCCTGACTTTGGGGCTGGTGCTCTATCCACTCTGCCATCTAACTGCCCCAAGATCATTGAATTTTAACCTCAAGAAAATAAATGTAATCATAAAGGAGAATAAAAACAATAAATTTGTCCTTGAATCTGGACAGAGAAGTGGGGTTGATATTATTTATATCTACCACCTCCCAACATGGTTGTATATCAGCTCAGCTAAGAAGGTCTTACGTTCTTCCCAGGTACTTCTCCATGTTAATTCTCCTTCATTATTCGTGGAGTGTGTTTTCCTTTCTTTCCACTGTGTTGAAGAAACATTTCCCTTTTATTTCTAATAAATTCCTGCTTATTTCTTAGCTCTATATGGTACCTTTTATCCCAGGGATTCAAGGTACTAAGTGGTATGTGAGCCTGTGCCAGGAACAGCTAGAGAATCAAAGAAAAAGAGACCCACCCCCTCCAAGGTATTAGTGGAATCAACATTATCATCATGTAGCCAGACAGAGAAGTAGAGTGTTGGGCCTGAAGTCAGGAAGACCTAAATTCAAATCCATATTCACATATTTACTAGCTATGTGACCCTTGACTTCTGTCTGCCTCAGTTTCTTCAACTATAATATGGGGACAACAATAGGACCTACTTCCCAGTGTTGTCGTGAAGATAAAATGTAAAGTGTCTGGCATATAGTAGGTGTTTAATAAATGTTTGGGGATAGCTAGGTGGCGCAGTGTATAGAGGACTGAACCTAGAGTCAGGAAGACCTCAGTTCAAATCTGGACTCAGATACTCACTAGTTGTGTGACCCTGCGCAAGTCACTTAACCTCTCTCACCCTCAGTTTGCTCAAATGTAAAATAATAACAGCACCTATCTCACAGGGTTATTGTGAGGATAAAATAATTTTAAATCATTGAGCACAGTGCTTGACACATAGCACGTGCTATATAAATGCTTATTCCCTTCCCTTCCCCAATAACAACAGCCAACGTTTATATAGTACTTTAAAGTTTATAAGGCTCTTTATAAATATCACCTCATTTTAGTGGAAAGGGCCATGACCTAGGATTCAGAAGATACCAACTAACTTAATCTGATTCAGACTAATCGATGACTCACTTGCTTTTCAATCTGCAAGCCTCTAAGCACTTTGCTAGCTATGCCTTGGGCATGATGACTCTGCCTCCACTTAGGCCTGCTTGGCACAGCTCCCAGGATACCAAAGACATCTGGCACTTACATCGACTTCCTGACAGAAAGTTGCGTTGGGACCGTACTGCAGCTGGCACTGGTGGTGGATGTCATAGATCACTCCAGGAGCAATGACCTTGGACTTCAAACCTTTCTTCTGGGGGACATCATCCAGACAGAACCCCCAGCCTCGGCTGAACACAAACATTCAACGTAAGTAGATGAAGGCTTACAACAGTCATTCTCACCGATTCACTCAGCTGGCAGATGTCCATTCCAATCCCAAAGCCTTCTCTCCATCCCATCCTTATTATTTCATATCCTTAATCAAAGTTCAATTCTTCATTCTTCAAAGAACACTAACAACTACGTAGCAATACAACTGGCACCCAGGCTGAGCTCGTTGGCTGCTCAGCTAACATTAGCCCTGTGATTACAATAGCTTAATCTTGCAATCCAAAAAAACACCAGTTACTGGGCTTGCTCGGTTTGGACTCTTCCTGCTAATTTTCAATCGGGAACAACTGAGGGAAAGGGCTCAGATCATGGACCAGACCCACAAGCAGCTAGGACAGGGAGATTGTCAAAAGGGAGAAAGGAGGTGCTTCCTCCGTGACTGAGCTATATAAACCAAGCGCTACTTGGTTTATAGCCCTAATACTTACTCTGTGTGCCTTGTGCATAGAAGATAATTAATGCTTGTGCAATAAACCTGGATGAAATGTTAGAGAATGTATAGTGATACAATAGGAGCCATCCTTGTGTTTAGAATTGGTTTTGTCCTCTAAGAGGCTTAGAAAGCTAAGCTGTGATTGAGGGTCTCTCCTGATATCTCTTGGGTGCCAGTGTTCAGCAGAGATCCTGCTAAAGCAGTAGTAGGCATTTCCCACAAACCAGCTATCTTTAGGAAACTTCTAGAGAGGAAAAGAAAACTTGGAACATTTGCCTCAGAGAGGCTCAGGACAGGCTGTTTGGTAATTAGGAAGCTCCTTTATCACTTACTCAAGGAAGCGAGTGATGTAATCCTTGCTACACTTGGACCATATGAGAGGAGTGGGGTCATACTGGAGCTGACGGGACATGATATAGGGGTGCCTTCCCACAGGCTCACAGTCATTTTCTCTTCCGTCGTGCTGGATGCCAAAGCTAGAAGCAAGATACACAAAACAAGTAAAGCAAAGTAGTATTAACCAAAGAGAAAACATTCATTTTTCTAGGGCAAGACAAATGCACTTGCTTCGCTAGGTTAAGTACCATAATTCAATGTTGGAATGGGGAAAATAGATTTCTGCAAGGTACAGAACATCTCACTCATTTAGGGTGGGAAGGGGCATAGGGAAGGAGACTGCTCTCTTTGCTCTTGGTTGAGGAATGCCCCAACCAAGTCAAGGGTCAGGAGCTACGAGCTAAACTCTACTTGGCTCACAGCCCCACCCCCCACCATAACCCCAGCCCATCTCTTTCAAATCCCTGGCTACTTCATGCCATCGTACACTCTCTAGTTTTGGGTTCCCCTCACCCAGTTCTCCCGAATACAGAAACACAGGTTTTTAACCCTACCCTTACATAAACTCAACTATCTCTGTAGCATACAGAGTTGTACATAGCATACAACTTTCCTTTAGTTTCCTAAGAGTTTTTACTGCTAATAGTGACAGGGAAGCACATATGTTATTATTGCAGTGAATGTGGAATTTTAGTGACATGGATACTCCCTCCAATGTGGCAATTCATGATCCATCCATTCCTTCTCACCCTGTGAAATTCTTGTCCACGTTCTCCAATAAATTCTTGAGGAGCTGCCGGGTAGGCTAGAGATCTTCTCCAGGATTTCTCTCATTTCATGGGCAGCATCAAAGCACTTTGGCTGTCCATCACTATTCCTTATTCTTGAATGATTCTGGCTCCTTACACATCTCATCTCAAACTTAACCTATTCCTCTCTGTTCTGGTTGGTTTGTCCGAAGTAAACTCCCACGCCCATCAGTAAAGCTTGTCTTCCCTTTAGTTAAGACTCGGCTTCTCCATCCAAAGCCTGATGTTGGCCTCTGGCCCGTGTTGTGCCAGGGAGATGCAAATGCTAGAATCTTTTTCTTTAGCTTTTGCTCCACATATTGGCTCTTTGGAAGGTGACCTGAGAGAGTTCTCTTCCTGCTACAAGGACCATTCCTCCTGTTGGATCTTTCATTAAGTTATTGTTCCATGGTTGAATGACTTTTCTCTCTCTTGGGAATTTTGAGCCACTGGCCCAAACTTTGGGCCTCATGTTAGAGGCTCCTATGATCACAGATCCAGACCTGGGAAAGTTCTCAGAGGCCATTTAGCCTACCCTCATTTTACAGATAAGGAAGTTTAAGTCATTTGCCTAAGGCTGCACATAGAGGAAATATCAGAGGCAGGATTTGAACCCAGATCCTCTAACTCAAGAGTCAGTGAGCTTTTTAATGCAGCATATTCTACCTTCAGTAAAATAATTTTCATTTATATTCTAATACGTGTATACATGCATATAAATGCAGATAAATATATGCACATGTGTACATGTATATGTTTATATGTGTGTATATATTATATATGTAAATAATGGCTCATCCTCAGTGCTCTTAATTAAATTTAAAGACAATATGGTAAAGTAGAAAGAGCCATAGGGACAGCTAGATGGTACAGTGGATACAGCACCGGCCCTGGAGTCAGGAGGACCTGAGTTCAAATCCAGCCTCAGATGCTTGATATTTACTACCCGTGTGATCCCAGTCAAGTCACTTAACCTTGACTGCCCACAAAAAAAAAAATTAAAGCTCATCTGTCTTTTTGTGACTCTGATCCAATCCCTTCTCTTCTCCTTCACCAACTGGCCCCTTTAGTCATCTCTTAAAAAAAAAAAGGAGCCATGAACCTAGAGACCTAAGACCTGGGTTCAAGTCTCACCTTTGGTACTTAATAGCTTTGGGACCGTAGATCATAGGGTAATAGATTTAGAACTAGAAGAGATGTTAGAATCACCGAGTACAACATCCTTATTTTACAGGTGAAGAAACAGTCCCAGAGGAATAAAGTGACTTGGCAGAGGCTACACAGAGCATAGGGCAGCCAGGTGGTGCCATAGTGCACAGAATGCTGGGTCTGGAGTCAGGAAGACTCATCTTTCTGAGTTCAAATCTGGCTTCAGACACTTACTAACTGTGTGACTCTGGGCAAGTCACTTAACCCTGTTTACCTCAGTTTCCTCATCTGTAAAATAAGCTGGAGAAGGAAATGGCAAACCACTGTAATATCTCTGCCAAGAAAACCCTAAATGGGGTCACCAAGAGTCAGACACAACTGAAAAATGACTGAACAACAACAGCAAAGAGCAGAACCTATGTCTTCTGACTCCAAAGCCATTGACTTTTCCACTGTAATAATCACTTCAGGTCTTGAGCCTCAGTGTCCTTATCTTAAAATGGGGGTTATAGCACTTCTACTTCTCTTCACAGACTAGATGTGAGGAAATTGCTTTATAAAATTTAAAGCTTCATATCAGTAAGCTAGGCTTATTTAATCCAGTAGAGAAGGAAAACTTATTTAGTGATAAGTGCTGATGACCTTGTAATGAATACTCCCCCCCCCACATAAAGAGACACGCGCGCACGCGCACACACACCCCACACACACAGAGACAGATTAGACTCAGACTCCCAGAAGAACACTATTTTGCTTCTGAGGTATTTCCCTCTTGGAAGTCCTGCCTCAGATTCACTGTTATCTGAAGGAGAAAATTTAAATAGGCTGCTTTGGATGAAGAGGATATAAACTCCTGGCCATGGTCATGCCTGTGAGCTTGTATTACTTTTGGATCAAAGCTCTTGATAAACACAAGCAGTTCTTCCTGCCTTGTAATGCACAGCAATGTCTTTGGGGGAGCGAGTGATTTTTCTTTCATTTTTCTATCCCTTCTATGAGAAGTTGTATTGACTTACATATGAGCCCCCATCTCATTCAGACTTGACATGTACTCACAAAAGAGCCAAAGAATTAATCTATAAACCTCTCGTCCCAATAATTACGTCTCCTCCAATGGAGAATGGTTTATCTCAGCAGGTCCTCCCCAGACTGCTCAAAATTCAATCTTTTCTGAGTCATCAACTCCTCTCCGAGCTTACCTGTTCAATAATTTATCAAAGTTCCAAACCACTAGCAGTTCCCTGAGAGGCTAGAGGAACTTCAGTTTTTTTCTAGCAATGTCTGCTTCCATACACCAAGCCATATACCCAAGGACCACACAGCACACTGCTGTAACAGGTCTCAGGTGTTAGCCTAACACTTTAAGAGGACTGACTACTGAAAAACACATTTTTCCATCACTTAATAGATCTAATTTCTCCAGTGTTTTTTCTTTCCCCTTGGTTTTTCCTATCTTCAGAAAACTTTCCTATCTTAAAAAGAAAAGAAACTCTAGGAAAACAGTACCAGACACAGTGGCTATTCCACTGCTTTGTAATAGTACTTCATTCTGATCTTGAAGAAACCATGGAAAAAAGATATATTATGATGGAGAGGGGAAAAGCCTTTCCCTGACAATCAAGAGATGTGGGGGCTTTGGGTCTATTTTTCTCTCCAATGAGGTTACTGGGAGGATAATAATAATAACAATAATAGCTCACACCTATAGAGTACTTAAGAGACCTATTTACCTATTATCATTGGTAGTATCATTGTTTACACTTTCTTTTGTCATGTCTTTATTTCCCTAAAGGCTAACAGTGCTTCACATATAACAACAAGTCAAGGATTCGTGACTCCAGTGGTCTGGGTAAGCCTTAAAGATTTGACTGAGGCTCAGAGATATTAATAGATTGCCCATGGTCTGAAGGCTAGTAAGTGCCAGAGGTATGATTTCCAACTCAGGTCTTCCTGACTCCAAACCCACTATTCTATCCTCTGCCTTGACCATAGCTGATGATCATTAATATAATATAATGTAATGATCTTCATTACAACCCTTTGAGGTACATAATGCAGATAAACTCACTTTTATAGGATGAAATAACTGAGACTCTAGCCCACTTTGCTAGTAAGTGGAGGATTCAGGATTCAAACCCATATCTTTCTTTTCCAAGACTAGCCTCATTTCCACTTGACCATGCTGCCACTTCCAAGCTTGCTGGACAAGTCACAACCTTCCCATGTCCCAGGTCCCTCATTTGTAAAGTGATGGAGTTAAATTAGATTATAGGATTTGGAGCTTTCAAGGTCATCTAGTCCAATCCACTGATTATACAGATGAGAGAACTAGGGTTCAGGAACTAGGTAACTTTCTCAAGGTTACACAGTGACTAAGTAGTAGAAATACAATCCAAAATCAGGTCCTCTGTCTCCAAATCTAGTACTTCTTCTCTTGAACTACTGGTGTGCTGGTTTCAGTCTCTGCCCTGTAAGCTACTGCAAGGAGATAACATGATAGGGAGACTTGTCCAGAGTACAGGGTCTGTCTATTGACAGCAGGTAGGGAAACAGGCTTCACTGACTGCTCTGTTCTGATTAGCCTTTTTCTTTTTTGCTTCATTGTAACTTATTTGCTATTTGTTCACTGGCCACAGATTTGACAAGTCCATAAAAAAGGAGTAAATTAACAGAGAGAAAATATATGCTGGGTAACTCAATGGATTTTATCTGCCCATTATACTCTTTTATGATAGCATTTTTTCAAGAGAGATAGGGCTTTTATATATATATATATATATGTATATATGTATGTATATATGTATGTATGTATGTATATATATGTATGTATGTATGTGTGTATATATATATATATAAATAAAATGCCTATTATAACATTTATAATTTTTTAAACTAACTTAATTTATTTCTGAGCCTGTGATAGGCATCACAACAGAGCATAGAATTCAGCAGTACATGAAATTATGCAGTTGTGGACTGTCTCTCAAAGGTTCATGTTTTGTGCTATGTATACATCACTTAAAAGGGGTTCAGAGACATGAGGTAAAAGGAATTTTAAATCCTTCCCAGGTACTGAATTTGTTGTCTGTCAGCAGAAGGTAATTAGAGGTAGCATAGTACAGTAAAAAGAATGCTAAACTGAAAGGCACAGGACCCACGTTCAAATTTTAGATCTGCCACTTCCTACCTGTATAGATTTAGGA